TTAGTGATGTACGTGTGTTCATAATTAATAAATTAATTTTATTAAATTAAATTAAAATTTTGATATTTTTTTTTATAAAAGTATTGATCATGTTTTAACCAAAATCATATAAATCGAAGTTTAAAGCTTTATAGAAAAATTCAACAAATTTTCATTCAAATTTCGAGCTTTTCAATATGAATCTTAATAGCCCATATAAGTTTTTTTGGGATGTGTTGAGGAACGAATTTCCGTGTATCACCCCAATATTTGATCCTTATTTTTCCGATCAAAAATAATTATCATTATATGATCTTTATTTTTTCGTTTAAAGATAATAATTAACATTGTTTTATTTTAGTTTTATTTTTTCACTTAAGAATAATGATTATTCAAAAAAAGTCAAAAGCTGTACTAGCATGATTACCGACTTATCCTTTTCGGAGGTAGCGAACAACCAGTGTTGCCACAAAAAATTTACCAAATTCCTCAAAAACAAAAGAAAAATCCTCAAAATCCGAACAAATTACTCAAAATTTTCTTATTACAGATATGAGTATTGCGTACTGCATACTACTTGTGTTTACAGGTACTTAGTATAAAAATTAATTACATTCTTCAATTCAAGTGGCACATTTGTTCTTGCGGTTCAAAGAAAGTATCACCGTTATTTTTTATGCCTTGGTTTGTATATAATATTGATGCAACTATATCAGTGCTCAATCTGGTCCTCAAGTCAGTCCTACACATTTTTAAACTACTAAATATACGTTCTACTGAAGCATTAGAAAAGGGCTATATTAGTAATGCAGATATAATTTTTGATGTGTATATGTACATCTTTGGTTTCGGTAGGGGTAAAATTCGCGAAGCTGTAACGCATATCCCGGCACAAAATTTGGAAGGGCTTAGCATGTGTATTTCAGCATAAAATTTGTATTTTCATTAGAAGCACCATGTGTTTGCTTGCATAGTAAGAGGAAATGCGCTACAATTGATCATTACTTCCGATTATTTAAACTCCGCACACGCATTTTGATATTCGTAGATGGTGTTAGGCATAGGTTTAGTAGTCTATTTTGATAAAAAAAGAAAGGCGAAAATTAAAAAAAAATACTGAAATCATCATGGCTGCATTTCTTTATTCATTCTGAACGTTTGGAATAAACTTTTTTGTTTACTTATTCTTTAGAACGTTCCCGATGATATGTTAACGTATATTTCAAACGCATTCTTTTTATTCCGGCTGTGAAATGGGATTATCCGGAATGTATAAAGAAACGCAGCCTTTAACTGGGATCGTTGATAACTGATGAACATATATGAATATATGTATGTATAATATGCATATGTATGGATGATATAATAGCTCTGATCCAATACTTTTCGTGTAAAATCCTGGAAAAAGGTCAAACAGCAAAATCACTCTGAAGTGAGAGTAAAAAGTGAGTAACAGCAAAACGTACGGAACAAAAAAGCATCGGGTAAAATCCTGCAACACGAACTGCATTTACATGAACCGCAGATTATATTCCGAAAAGAAAAACTAAATTTGGGAATATATACAAATGCTCAAACTATAAGCTCAAAAACAATAACTGATGCGGTGTTTCCAAGATATTTTAACGCCCTTGAGTCACAAGTATATACAAGTATATTTTATCAATCATACCGATAATTTCATGTATTAAAAGAATTAAAAATGCAAATGAATAAAAAATTAAATCAGCAAAATGAATAAAATTAAGTGAAATTAATGTTTAATTTCTAACCTAACCTACATTTGTATGTATGTAACTGAATCGCCTAATAATAGCTTTACATATTAAAAGATTATACTAATTTTCGAACTCCCTAATCTGTTATTAGAAAAAGAGATTAGCCATGCAAAATTGTAATTAAAAATATCTCAGGTTAAACCGATAACTTTTTGGTGTCCAACCTAGTTTTATCGATTATACTTGCGAAGAAGAGGAAGAATGTCAAATGTTAAAGTAAACAAAAATTGACGTTAGTAAGGAAAATAGGTTTGTAAAGGTATTTTTAATAAAATATTCAGTTAAAATATATTGAAATGGCATAATATGTGTTGCAGAAAAAAGTGACCACGGTGGCACAGAGAAGAAGTTTAACTTTTCCTCGAAATGTGTGAATAACAAGCACAACCAATTTGACAGCTAACGAGCTTTGGTTGAGATTATATTTATATGTAAACGTACTTTTATGCTTTGCCGTTCGCATATGTTTACACATAAAATTTCATGAGTACCTAGAACTCACGCCTTTTTTTTAATTGGGAAACTTATATGAACCGGAAGAATCTTTTCATTCAAAAACTTTTCCTATAACTCTCTGGATCTAATGATAAATCAATATGAATATCCTTATGATCGAACAATGCGTGTTCTCTCCATTCGTTACCGACATTTTGCAAGTTTAAAATAAGTTGAAAATATAACGATGGAATGAAAAAATTATCGATAACATTTTGAATATTTAGCAGCAAATACAGATGTGCTTAAGAGCGAAAAACACCACACAAGTGGCTTGACAAACCAAGCGAAATATTCCTTTCCTTAAAGCCATTTATGTTGTGTATGGGGGTATTTGAAGGTTTGACAAGCCGCCATGTTGAAGTTTGATCAAACCGCTTACATTGTGTATGATAAAATCGCCTCATTCGCAATTAATGAGGATGCGAGAGAGAAACATTAAAGAAAACAAAACCCTTTTACATTGTGAACCGGAAGAAAACTAAATTAATTTGCTTGAACGAGTCATGTTTGCATGGGTGTATGGCGAAATGGGAAAAGTAGGTTTGAAGAATGTTCTACAAGCCACTTGAGAGGTGCGAACTCTTTATAAAACTTCGGAAGGCTTTTTGTTCAAAAACGATTTAACATTTCTCTTGTGTAAAACATGGCCGCATTTGTTATCTGCAAATACTTATATCGAGAGAAAATTCCTCAAAAATTCCTCAAAATAAAAATCCTCAAAAAATACTCAAGCGCACCCGAAATTCCTCACGTTTTGAGGAATTACTCAAAAAGTGGCAACACTGCGAACAAGTCCCAAAATTTTCAGTTCAAAATTCGAGTTGCTTGCGTCTGTACATGCCGTTTAAATTTTGTAAATAATCATTATTCTCAAATGGAAAATAAAACGCGATAATAATAATTTAATTTTTAGCAATGTGTTTAGCTTTGTCCGACGATTTGTTGCTTTTTCCATTTTTCCTAAAAAAATAGAATATTAGAAGAATAAATTTTATAAGCTGTCAACCTAAATATGTACATTAGACTGGACAAAAAAAAACAAAGTTGTTTTTGTTTAACGCATACCCACTAGGAATGTTAATCCCGGATCCCGGACTTTTGAAGGTCGCGAAGATCCCGGGATTCTTGGCAAGTAAGCCCGGGATTTTCGGGATTTGTAGTTTACACTGATGGCAGTATTGGCTATATTTCTTTTTTTATTTAATAATTAATATTTTTTTCTAAATGTCTAGCTCATTATACATATAACACCGCGCGATAATAAATTTTAAACACAACTATCAATATATTCGCGAAAGTGTGGGCCAAATAAAGTAAAATTGCGTTTTTAGTTGTTTACTCTGACGTCAGTAATTTAAAAATGATTTAAAAAATTCAGAGAAAAGTGCTTAGAGAAGAAGTATGGGTATAAAATTAATGAGGAAATCTGTAGAATTTAAACAGATTCAAGTTTCTGGTGCAGAAGGGCTGGTAAATATTGAAAATGTCATTTTAAAATTTTATCCTTAAAATTTCGCAATATTTGTTTTGGAAAAATGATATGTTATATAAACTCCATAACATCCTCGAGTTTGGTTCTTCTAACTTTGTCAGCTTAAAAATTACCTATTCGTCCTTGTGAATCCAAAAAATTTAAATTTTTTTAATTCTAAAGAAATTTCCTATTGCATTTGTAAACAACAAATTTTTAGCTGCATTTTAACATGTCAGGAAAATAAAAAAATTGAGAACATCAGCGTTTTTATAAAAAACCGACCAGCGCGACCTCTAAAAAACTTTTTTTTTTTCAAAATAAAAAAACACGTTTCTCTTTTTTTATCACAAATAACAATAATTTGAGGTAGCGTTTATAAATTTCCAAAAAAAAAAATTTTTTGAACCACTCTAGTATGCATATCAAAATTTTTCCATATATTCTTGGTACTGACTGTAAAACGGCCTTTGGGAGTTTACAATTTTAAGCGATATATTAGTTATCGATGCCGAGTATAAAACCATATACACTAAGTGTCATTAAAATCAAATAGTATTGCTAGATAATTCATTAAATGGCCTTCATCAAACCGCAGACAGACACCACAAGCGGATCAAATTGTATGAAGCCGACTGCAAGTGCTCATCGTTTCATACATATGTATGTACATATGTATATTGCTTGTTATTTTCATTTGTATCAGGGAAAATGTTGGGAACACAATGAAATCAAATTGAAATCGTGAATGTTGTCCGCTCATTCGATCAATTGCGCTAAATTGAAGTTGCACGGTGGAATAAAAATAGTAAATCGTTGCAATCATCATGAAGAGGTGATTGGCAAATAGAAACAGGCACACACCGCAACAAACCTATAATACGGACGGCGTTGGCAGACCTACTTTAATACAAACAAACACACGTACATAATTTTGATCATCACAAAGGGACGGATAGGCGCAGAGCAGATGATGGCAAAAAGTGGATGTGGAAGGTGATTGTGATGTGCTGATCTGCTGAAATAGCATTGCGATGGCGATGGATGCGCGCCCTCACTTTCACATGAATGCACGCCAAAGCCAAGAGACGCTTAATGCGCCGAAACTGCAAGAGCGTAGGGTGGTATGGCTAGTTGCATGCAACAATTGGTTGAAACATGTACGTGAGTATATCTATGTATATACTCATGTACATATATTTACATATGTAGATATGTATATGCAAGTATTGCACATGTTCATATATTTGCTCGCTTATTTAAAGTACACTTACCCCACTGACACAAATCGCAGCACAAAGTAATCCGAAAATAATAAAAAACGTCGAAATTGCAACGGCGTGTCGCTGTAGCAGCGATGTATCCAAATGAAGATGCCGCCGATGTGAATATTTTGTGGAGGTTTGTTCTTTTTGTTGCTTCTGAGTCATCTCTGTTGTTGGTGGTGTTGATTTTGTTTTCATAGCCATCGTGCAGTTAGTGTTTATGCTTATACTGGTCTATGTGCTTGTATTTCAGCTACGGAAAATGTAGCATGGAGCGTATACGTAATTTATTTTGAATGCAATTCAGTTATCTACAACGACCAGAACAAGGAAAATGAGAGGAAAAATAAAACACAATTTATCTATGCACGTATTATGTATATGCATACAAATTTGCCGAAACGCCGCAATAAATAGCCGGGATTTACTTGTGAACCACGAATAATTTAAAAAAATCTTCAAAGTTTGAATCTATGGGGGTAATAAGGCTACTGTACATATACTATGTAGTATCTAGGAATACGATAATGGAGGCAATATATGTACATATATCTTTCCATACAAATTTTATGAAAAATCGCCCTTATATCTAAATACTTGAGACTTAAAAAGTCGAAGCCGTTTTTACAATTTCATTTGGTCTTAATCTTAATATGTAGCAATTTTCTTTTTATTTGTGGATTTGCATTAACAAATTTTTATATCTTTTTTTTCTTTTTTTTTAATTCAATTTATATGTATTTCTGCTATTAAAAGCTTTTTTGTTGTGTTGTCTACTCTGCACATATTTAAATCCCAAAACAAATTTGAAGTGCACAACAATTTTAAAAAATTGTTTTTAAGAACGTTATTACCGGAATCTAAATAATTGTGTAGAAGTTAATTATGTTTTTTTCGTATAAGGTGGAATATCTTTGTTCGTTTGGTTTTATCCATTAAAATCTTTCACTATATTAATATTTATTATGTCAACTATTTATTTGCGTAGCCTTTTTGCACATTTATGGTATTTTCTTATTTTACACGAAGAGTATTCTCTTCATTTTGTAATGTATTCTAGATACACATATTTTATTATTGGAAACACTTGTATAAATAAACTAAATACATATTTCCCTCATACGCACTTTCCAATTAACACGCCTACACCTGTAATTATCGCGACTGTGCCAAAAGGAAGGAAATGAACGAATGCGCGTTAACACGTGTGTCTCTGCCGCTAGTCGAGATGCGAAAGTTAAAAAAATCGCGCAAACAATTTTGTTTTATACCTCCAATATGTTCAGCATAGTCGCCAAGCGTACAACATCGAGCGATGCGCTGTGAGCGATGAGTGCGCAAAATCCAAAAAGCATCATCATCATCATCACCGCCAACATCCATAAAGACACAACAGCAACAGCTGAAGCGCAACTAACAAGAATTTAAAAAGCAAAATCAAAATCAAATTCAAACTCGAAAACAGTGAAAAACGTAAAAGACAAAAACATGCAATTCAAACGCCAAAGACAAACGCGCTTGAAAAAGCAATCGCTGAAATCCGCTTTGGGGCTTTTGATAGATGCGAACACTGCAACATCAGCCAACTACAATTAATAGTGCAAAGCAAACATTAAATACAAAAAAAAAACAACTGCATAGCATATTTTAAAATGGCTCAGAATTCGCCAATGCTCTTCTCTCACTGAGGATTCCAAATGATGGTGCTCAACGAATGCATTTGATTCAATATTTGTTGCGAAGCCCTGGTGACCTTATTAAAAATGAGCGCTTCCATTGAAAAAAATAAAAAATTAATGTGCTTTAATGATTTTAAGTGTAATATCACTGCAAATTTTGCAATAAATTTGACAATAACATTTGCCGAAATAAAAAAAAAATCGTTTAGGTAATTGAATGACTCGCTAAATTGAAAGACTTAAGTAGCGAACTTAACAAAACCCAAATTTTCGCTGATACATATTATTGGCAATAATTGCGAAATATATCTCAAGTATGATGGATTACTAAGTATGTAGTATAACACATATTTTTTTTATTTCGCAAAACATATTGTGTTTCTTAGAGCCGTTTTCACGTTGCACTATAGCCTAAATGCCCATTTTTCCACAAAAAAAAAGTTATCCCTTGAAGACAGAGAGGTCTAAAAGGATCATGTTTAACTTGTTGTTTTATTAAAAATGTTTGAATTTAGTTTTTTAAATATTCGTATGAATGAACAAAAAAATTACAAAAACAAAAACAGGGATCACACGATTTGCAAATTTGTACAGATTAGTACTTTTCCACAGTAACAGAGTGGTGTTGTTTGGAAATTTTTTATCGAGCTGAACTCATTCTCGACAAAGATTTCTAGACAACACCACCCTGTGACTGCCTAACTGTACAAATTCCTCTTTAGTTATATACCCCATTTATACCATGGCAATTTTTGAGAAATGTTGCCAAATTATCCTTATTTCAATTTAAAGCCTGAATTTCTTAATTTACCTACAAAAATGTTAGGTGAGTTTATGTTAATCTGGCCGGCGTTGAGCCGCACATAGACCGATAGTTCCTTAGCGTTCCAGTTGGAGCTTGTTTTTTCACAAAGGATGCCAACGCCTTTTTGGAATTTCAATTGAGTTTTCAGCTCTACTTTTGAGATGTCCTCTAACTTCTCGAATTCGTAAGCTCCTAAGCATTTTAGTTATGCTTTTGACAGGGCAGGACATCGGCAGAGAAGATGCTGCAAAGTTTCCCTGGTCTCCCGCTCACGACACTTGATACCAATTTTTCCCCCTAGAATATGTCCCGTAAGCAATCCTCTCTAACTCTGAAATATTTCTTTGGTGGTCGTAGCAAGAAGCGAGTATAATTGCTTCCGGTGGTTTCGCACATAATTTTTGCAGTTTTGCAATCAACGCCTCAAATGGAACCTACCTGGTACAAAAACACAAACTACACAAATACTCATATCCAGGGCTGTTTTTTACTTCAAACGGCACTTACTTTTTCATTTTGGCACGTTTGAAAAATAGTAATATTTTAATGCATTTTTGTGAAATCCTTGGGGTGCACTTATTAACTCAACTAAAATTTTCTAATTTCTATAGTGTATACAACTCGTATGTATATCTAACTTTGGCGCTGGACTTTTGTTATACTCGAGCGCACTTTTCCACAGGGTATCATAACTTTGTTCGCATAACGGTTTTTTGTAACAGCCTAAAGAAATCGAGACAGATATAGACAAATGTATATATAAATGATCAGAATGAAAATTTATATCGATTAAGCCATGTCAGTCTGTCCGTCCGTCCGTCCGTCTGTCCATGTACTCGATATCTCAACGAAATTTGGTATGTAGGTTGCCCTTTATCCAAAGTAGGTTGCTATTGAAAATGGGCGAAATCGGACTATAACCACGCAACTTCTCGTATAACGGCCTTTTCGCAAAATGCAAAAACTATGAAAATTAGTATGTGAAGTAGAATTTTGGTGCAAAATAATATTAATATGAAATTTTTGGAAAAATGGCGTGACCCCGGTGCGAGCCTTGCTTAGGATCCAGCTAAGAAATTCGTTGAAAATCTTTGAAATGGTGCAATTGCCACGCCCACCTACCATATAACGATAATTTACAGAAACGCGAAAACTGCGATAAATCAGTAACTGCTGAAGCTAATTGACTCAATATCGATTATGGCGATAGCCACTGAGCAGAAAATTAGATTATTATAAATTTTTGGAGTTTGGGCATGGCTCCGCCTACTTATGACAAAAAATGTGTATCTCGGTAACCGATTTATCAATTTCTACCTTTGTACGAAAAATTAATTCGTTGAAAATTATTCAAATCGGATTAAAATTGCACCGGCTTCCCGTATAACTTTAATTTTCGGATATATGAAAATTCCGATATTTCATTAACTGAGGACCTTCATTTACTCCCAGTTAATACTGACAACAATCTCTCAACAATAAATAAGACTGTTATAGGCTTTTAGGTAGTTTAAAGAAAGTTGGAACGACGACAGTTGATACCTGCGTCGGGTATATAAAATTCGGTTTCGCCCGAACTTATACTACAAAAAAAAAGCAACTACAAGACTAGACATTATAAAATTCGAACCCCTTCGATTAGCACACACGAAAATAACACACTGTCATCTTTTGAAAAACACAAACCCAATACACTATACTTGCAACACCGATAACATAGCCACAGTTACTCATATTCTCCCACTGCATGCCACCCGTAGAGAACAAATATTCACTAACACAAACCCAATACCACACCTCTCAGTTCCTTCTTCCGAATCAATATCCCTAATAACTAAATTCCTTAAAAGAACCAGTCTTTGCCGTAGGAACTAAAATAAAATGTGTTTACATTTAAGAATGGAAATATGTAAGAAAATATCGAGCTTAAGGCCTAGCTGCTATAGCTCCTAAAACTTATAGCTTATAAGATTTATGTTGTAAGCTAATTTTATATAAATAAATAAATAACTGATTCTATCTAGCCTTGAACTGCCTAATCATATTTTCGTCTATTTCGTTTGGAGTAGTCTACGAATGTAGTTTATCTGTTCGAGAGTTAGGCTGGTGGCGCTCTTAGTAGTCTCATCTGCTATTTCATTACCCTATATTATCTTGGGGCCGGGCACCGAATAGATATGCAGCCTTCTGTCAGCTGTGCTACACTGAGGGAAATAATGCATAGTAAATTTGAATACTTTATATTTGATTATCGTTTAAAAATGTTCGTATTTAAAAATAATATTTTCATACAAAATTTATTACGCACGTATTTGACTGTTCACATCTGAGCATGCAGAGCGCCGCTCTTAGAGCGGTGACAACACACACATACATACATAGTACATACATACATGTTTATCCACATAAATCGCGTGCTGTGGTGTTGATGGATATTCAACATTTGAAAGCAAATTCATATGCCTGGGTGTAGCTGAGTGCGCAAAGATGCTTGCCATAAGTGATATCCGGAGACGGTTGGGTTCGAATTCCACTGCAGGAAACATGCAAATTTTTTTTTTAGTGTTTGTCTTGATTATTCACTTCACGGATGCTTTTTCAGTACAAACGCGGTCATTTTAATATGCGCGTAATTGAATTGAATATTTGCCAATATACAGTACTTTCGTTGACGTTTATAGTAAGATCAATTACGTTTCTATTTGATTTTAATATTTTTTCCCCTCAGTGTACTATCCTCATTGCGAAAAGCTCTGCTTGAAATATACTGCAATGGTCAGGTAACCTAACAGCACGCCTGACGTTCAACTCCCGGCAGTATATCCCGGCAGCAACTCCTGTTACTATTTTAGAGCCGTCCGTGAAAATTTTTAGGGATATATGGCTAGATTTCATTCCCTTGCGCCATACCTCCTCCTCAATCGTTGTGCGAAACTTTCGTTTCCACTTAAAGCTAGGTTCCATGTAGTCTGTGCTGCCTGTGCTCCCCGCCCCAATGGAGCTGTGCCAAAGGGTTCTGAAATTGAACTCCCCTATGACCGTCAATGTACCTGCGGATATCGCAGCACGGTTTTACACGAATATGTCAATGGACGGTAAATTGATGATTTTTTTTCAAGAAATGATAAAAGAAGCAACATTTGCAACAACAAACCATTATTGATTTCTCCCCTCCAAACGGTAAATAGTTCACTACAATTTTTCTGAAATTACTAAAAATCGCAATACAAAAATGGTGGCATAAGTTCATAATATCTATATATGTATTAATACGCTAACGAAATCCCATACAAATCCATTCCTCCCTACTGCTCCTATGTTTCTCAACCGATTTGAATGATTGCTCTTTTTTCGAAAAGTGTCTTAAAGAGGAGTCGCGCATTTTATTTGTTTTGCTAGACGACCAAGAGGTGCTCATGGACTTGAAAAACGTCACAAACAAAATGAAAGTGTGTGAAAAAGTGAGGTGGTCGAAATTCAACAACGGGACGGTACTAGTACATATAATGGTTTTATCCTTTAGTACCATTGCCAAACCTAGCCAAATTTTCCTAGGCTTATGTAAAATTAAGATATAAGAAAAATCTAATAATTTATTTGGTACCAGAAAAAAGTGATTTTAGCGCCAAAATAAAATAACAATATTTTGTTATCACGCATCTTTAATATCTACTTAGACCCCATAATAACTTTATTTTTAAAATGTGTTCTAATATTTTTATAACTGTTATCAAACATTACACTTTATAAA